TTCATTCTCACACCATCTCTATAAGTTAAATATCATCATCCCCATTTTGCAGATGGGGACATGCGGGCTCAGAGGCCTGACATTTTTTCTAGAAATCCATAGCTCAGAAATCACACCCGAAGTCACTCATCTAGGAAGAAGGACTGGAAGGACTGGAGCCTGTATGCATGGCTGATATTCTCACCCTAACATCCACTGCCTCACCCTAGCGGTCTTGGGCCATTTCACTAAAACCGGTCCTGCCACAGGCCACGGCTTCCGCAGTATGTGCACTTTAAACGGTTTTGCTGGAAACCCAGGCCATCCCCTCCTTCCTCAAAGCCAGCGTTCTCTTCATTCTGTTTTACAGTCCTGCGCAGGCTTTATGCCCTCTCTCCGGAGCTCTAACTGCAGCCCTCAGGCCTTGGCCCCACTACAGCTGAAGACCAGATTGCAAAGTCATTCTGTCCAATTAGACAAACCCATTTCTCTCCGGAGAGTTGATGCCATTCCAAGATGGCTTACGATGAGACCAAAACCCCGAACTGGTTTTAAGTAAAACAAGTTCTCCTGGATGCACAAATTTCCTTCATCCGTTTTAGTTTGTAACGACAACGGGGTAAACGTCAGCATAGCAGCTATCCCCCTACTCTGCCAATGTCTTGCTTTGTGACTTCTGTGGCTTTCAATTTCCCTATATACAGAATACAAACTCTCAACCTACCTCACAAAAGTAACTGCATACACCTGAAACTAATAAAGAAAATAAATTTTAAAAAAAGAAAAAGATTGCAATGATCACGTGAGATAGTAAAAATACTTTCATTAAAAAAAAAAAATCAATGCCTTCCGAAACTAAGGTGTTAACGTGCCTTTCCCAAAGTATACAGGTTATGACAAATACTGGGCATTTACAGGGCCAAAGCACAGATCTAGAAACTCCCTCTGTTACACAGATGGGGATTTCTATTTCAGTAAAAAGTTTCCGGGAAACTCCTAGCACTATTATCAAAGGTTCTAACTGGGCAGCCAATAGAAAAACTCCCTATAGGTCTATGAATCAGTCTTTGGGAGAGTTTTTTGTTTTGTTTATTAATGTTTAGGCCCCATTGATGACACAAGCATAAGCTCCTTGGTATTAAAGTAACCGGGAACTGAGATTAATTGCCCAATTTTTAATTACATTTGGCATCTTTGTAACCCGTGTTGTAAGTGCCCTGTCTATCAGGGCATTGTGAGAACAGGTGACCTGTCACTAGCTATTTTGAAAGAGCTTTGGTGTCTGAGCAGCTTATGATCATGAAGAAAAAGGTTTCTAGACTTCTAAGAATCTAACATGCACACCCTATGTGTGGCTTTTAAAATGGCTTAAATAATGAGACATCACAGGAAAACAAATTGAATTGAGTGTGTTGACTATTTACACACCCTCTAACCTGTCCAGCTGTCTCTACCTCTGAACATGGATTTTTTTTTTTTCTTTCTGGAGTCTCTCATTTTCTCCATTGTATTCATTTGGAGGAAAAAAAGATCTCATAAATGTCATTTCATATTCCAAGCAATTTGCTATAGGCAACTACACCATTACTTTGTACAAATAAATTTACATAAATCATTATTAGAATGTTTTATCTTAGCAACATTATTTGGTTCCCAGAGCACAAATTAAATGCATGCTTAAAGCAGAATATTTTAAAGTTATTCCTATATTGTTTATGAGACAGGATTAGAAATTTCCATCTAATTTTTCTTTCATAATGGAATTCCTTCAGTTTCCTTTGTACATTTAGAAACCACATATATAATTTTCTGGGGGGGGGGGGTTCTGGAAGCCAGCAATGCAATAGATGACTCTGCTACATTTGGTTCATTTTGCAGAGACCATTCCCTTTGATTCCAGGGGTTTGGTTTTGAACACTGATTAAGGAAGCCTGGAACCAGAGAAATTAATACCATCTTGTGCGTAGATGGGTTTTTGTTTGATATGACTCTGCAGGCGAACTGGTCTTTGGTTGCGGTCCGGCTTTATTATTTTTTTTTTAAATAAACAAACTTGTAAATAAACTTCCTGAAAACAGAGCTCAATCTCTCCTAGTTGTTTGTGTTGGGAAAGGTGCCTGTTTGGATTCGACTGCACAGCACATGGCCGGTCTTCCCTGGCTAGTTCTACTCCACCCTAGATTTCAAAATCAAGTCTTTTCTCCCTATGGAAAATGCAGTGCCCAGTTTTAAAACAAGCTGCACATGTCGACGTCAGGGCAGTGAGAATGGAAGGGGACTGACGGCAAGTCAGCAGACATGCTCGCCAGCCCTGGTCCTGCGAATTTGCTGGTTCTAGAGACTCACCAAGTGATGCCATGTTTCGTCTTCTTATTAGGGTCACCAAGGGCTGGACTCACCACTCAGGGCCATAACTGTCTATCAGCCTGTGGTCTGGGGACAGATTCCCAAGCCAGTGTCAGGGAAGGGGGGCCCCAAGGGGTCAACAGCTCAATTCTCATGAAGGACGAGTGATGCAGCCCCACAGGGCACCTAAGAACACAGCGTCCGACAGACCTAGGCTCAAAGCGAAGAGCTGCTACTTGATAGCTGTGTGATCATGAATGATTCAACCCTCTCTGTGTGTGCTACCTCATCTCAAAGTAAGAGTCCTTGTACCTACCTCACAAGTTTGTTCTGGGGATGAAATGAAGTGATGCAGGCAAAAGCTCAGAATAGTGTCTGACTCTTAGAAAAGCTCAGTAAACAGTAGGTAACAATAATCTCAAAGGATGACCAGTGGGGTCAAGCTTGGGGTGACCATATCATTTACTGTCTACACTTGGATATTTCTGGGTGTGAAAGGGGTGATTGTATGATAATTATGTTGGGTCAGCTGGGGAATGCTAGGATGGTTCCAGGCAATATTGGGGCATGTGTGACTACTCTGACTGCAGCCCATCGCCATTCAAGATTGGATAAAGAAATTAAGTGACAACTATAGCTTACATGTTTTACAACTCGTTATACCTTTTAAAGCTCTTTCCTACATCTTATTTGCACCACTCACAAACTATGTGAAAAATGTGGGGCTGGGTTAATTATACTTTAATAATGAGCAAACAAAAGCACAGAAAAAAGATGGGCTTTCCCACAATGACACAGGATGGCCAGGGCAGTGGGGACCTCTGCAATCCGGGGCTCCTCCCTGCTTCCCAGGCTCCTGGCAGCGAGACAGGGTCATGTGACTAATGCTGGCCAATGGACTGTGAATGTGGAATTGTTTTGAGTCCTTTTTAATCTACGTAAGTCACTTAAGAATGAGTGTGTGTTCTCAACTCTTTTTTCTCCCCTGCGTGTTTCAGGAACCAGGAAGCCACATTTTGAGACATAGGTGTCACAAGATGGAGGAGGGTTGGAACCTCCAAACACTGGATATAGGACAACCACAATCCAACTCTGAGTAAGTGAGAAATAAAAAAGGTGGCTAGGATCCATGGCTCTGATTCCAGGGAGGCCCAAGCTCCTGAGTCAACGTGACCTCAGGCGCAGGAGCACAGGAGCATGCTAAGGCAGATGGAGCAGGCCTGACCGGAAGAGCGGCAGCCTCAGCGGCCAACTCTCAGTAGCACCTTCAAGAACCAGGGCAGCAAAAGCCACCACTGCTTTATCCAAAAGCAACACTGGAAAAGAGCTAGGTGCGGGCAGGACGGGCTGGGCCATCTTAGAATTAGTAAGGGCACTTGGCTCCCCGCCCCTGACTGTGACCCCAGCTTCAGCCTTGAGTCCCTCCCTGACTTCCGGCTTTAGAACTCTCTAGATATGCTCTCAGCATCAACTTATAAACTCGTGTTCATGCTTCTTACCTGTCAATTCTACTACTCAGCTCAGAATAGCACCTTGTGAATCACCAAGTACTGACTTGACACAGCCCCTGGTTCATCCCAGGGCCTTGTTAAGCCACACCTGCCAAGCTGAGTTTGGAGGAGAGAAGGGCAGGTGGGTAAGAGAAGAGTAAGTACTCAGGTAGACAGGCAGAGGCCAGGTGTGGACAGGCCCAAAGTAGCAGCAAAGGCCAGCAAGGTAGCAGCCCAGCCAGGGTCAAGGCGACATTGCCCACTGTCCCTGAAGCTGCCAGCCACGGCCCCTCGGTCACAGAGCAGTTGGGGTTTCCCCAGGAAAACCTTAAGGGAACCAGGCTCTGAGGGGGAGTCTGGCTCTGGCTGTGACAGAGGATCGGGGTCCTCTGCCCCCTTTCTGGTCCAGGCAGTCAGGGCCCTCGTTGCCGGGCTCAGGGTGGGCTCATGCCCACCTTCCCACCCAGGCACATGCTGCTACTGTTCCCCCCTCCTGGCCTCAAGGTCCACAAAGCCCGCCTGAGGCGCTCCCTCATCCATAAATCCTTCCCTAATTACTTCCACCTCAGTCCTGAAGGTCTCTCAATTCCCTGAACCAGAGAGCTCCTATTAGCGCCCAACCCCAGCCCCACACTGCAACACCGCCTGCCGTGCTCTCACGGGCGGGTCCTGGATCCTCCGCTAAGCTGTGAGCCCCAAGCAGAGCTCCACTTCTCAGATTATCTTATCCCCGTGTGTCCCGAGAACAAATAACCAATACTCAGTCACACTCATTGACATCAATTAAAAGGTACAACATTGGCAAGAGTAATATAATTCAAGTAAAATGTGGAATTATGAGAAAGAAAATGATTTAGGGGACGATGGCAGAAGCCGGCTTCTATGGGAACATTTCCCAGCAGTGCTTCCTGCTGCTTTGTGTGTCTATGACACACCCCAGACTTCAAATAAAGATGCGATTCAATGTTTTCATTATCTTAATGCCTAAATTGGATTGACCACATTGTCAGTCTAATCAGCTGCGTAAGTTGATCATTAAGAAGATTGAAGAGAGAGGAGGAAGGTACCAATGGATGAAGAAACAATCCATTTGGCATTTGCATTTAAACCTAGCTTTGGTATTTCATTTCTTCCTTGCAATCTCTGTGAGGTGTGAGCGAGTTGGGGAAGGCAGAGCATGATTACCTGAGTCGGAATGGGTCCAGGAAACCAAGGTCAGCATTGCTCCAGTCACGGAAAGGATCAAGAAGCCTCCATTACCGCAAGAACGCTGGTCTTCGAGGAGAGGATGCTTCTAGCAGCTGGTGGAGAGGAGGAGGAAGACGGGATTAGAGCTGAGGAGGAGAGAGGACCCTCTCAACCACAATGGAGGTCATCTCTGGCCTGACTCTAAAAGATGACACACTTCAGTGAAAAAGTCAATTGCAACAGGACCTCTTTATTTCTTGGAAAGTTACTGAAGCACTGGGTCTTTCACGATGGAGTGTTCTTGAAACTGCTGCCTGGGGCATACAAGGACCCAGAAATTTGAAAACACACACCATAAACATTGTGAGATGATCTCATTTTACTACAACTGCTATTGAGACACTTGTGAGATCATGTGCTTTTATCATAGCTGCCACTGAAACACTTGTCTATCTCTAAAAGAAAAACATCAGAGCACCAACAAGCATTCAAGGCCAGCGTCCCATCACGTACGCCAGGTACACAGGCTGCAAAGTCAAGGATTCTCTATTCTGTTGTACAATAAAATTCCTCTGACTCTACTCATTGGGGAAAAAAAGATGCCATCAAGCTGAATCTCACTAAATGCACTGCATGTTTTCCAGCCACAGTTAACCAATAATCTTGCACAATAGGAAGGTGGTACATGAGACAGACTGCATAATAATTTGATGGAAGACATTTTGGCCTCCGCCTCAAGGAAGACACATCAGTAGACTCTCTGATGAAAAGAACAGTATTACCCTATGAACTTTTGGGTGAGACTGTTAGGGAAAAAATTCATTAAATCAGTGGTTCTCAGACAGTGGTCCCTGGAAAAGCAACAACATCCCTGAGAGTCTGTTGGAAATGCAAATTCTTGGCCCCCACCCAAGACCTACTGAATCTAAATATTTGGAGGTGGGGTTCAGCGATCTGGTTCAACAAGCCCTTCAAAAGATTCTGATACACTCTTTAGATCTTTAATTTATCCACCCATCCGAAGACATTTAATCTGTTGTTGTAAAACAAAATTACCCCACTCGACTGCATGTTACTCTTCAATTAAGGGCAAAGTATTGAGCTGGGGATTAGAGAGAAGAAGAAACGGTCAGAGAGAGAAGATGATGAAATCGCCACCTTTGAGAAAAAGATTGTCCACTATGGGAGATAAGACATGTATACAGGCAACTCAAATACAGATAGGCTGTGTTATTTCCTTTAACCAAAGGCTTCAGAGGAGACATTTGTTTCTGGTGTGGGTTGAGGGCAGGACAGGTAAGGGAACGCTCCAAGATAATAACTATACCAATGGGCCTTGAGAACTGGACAGGATTTTGACTGGAGGGAATGGGCAACAGCTGAAGCAAAGGCCCAGAGGTGAGAAAGAATGAAGGTTATTCAGGGGCATGGGGTAGCCAGGTCTGGCTGATGTGAGACAAACTTGAAGGTGATCCAGGTAAGACAAGGTCACTTCCAAGTACAAACGGGTAAATCCTAGGGGCCTGTGTCTTCTCTTTCTTGTGTAAAGACCATCAGGCAGCATCTGTTACTTATGTTAGAAACTGACATCTGATAAACTAGGTGACTTAAAAATTTTGAAACCCAGTTTGTTTTTCTGTCCTTTTCGTATTGCGTTTTCTAGAAGGGAGCACTTCAGCAGCTTCAAGGATTAACTGCTGAAGGTTTGCCCACAAGGAAGACACAAAAGAACATTTTAAAGAAGGCAGGAATCTGGATGTCACAGTAGCCTCAGGCCATTCTGCAAAGGGGCAAAATCTTACCACACCTAAAAAGCCCCTGCGGACATCTATGGTTTTAGCTTTATAAAATAACTCTGGTGGACAGTGGTGTACCTTTGTCACAGGAACAAGTTAAAGGGGGAGAGGCAGAATGGGTGAAGGGAGTCAAGTACCGAGTGCCAGTTATAAAATAAGTAAGTCATGGGGCTGTGATGTACAGTATGGTGATTATAGTTAACAATGCTGCATTTGCATATCTAAAAGTTGCTGAGAGATCTTATAAGTTCTCATCACAAGAAAAAATCATTTGTTTGGTAACTATGTAAGGTGACTCATGTTAATGAGACTTATTGTTGTGATCATTTCACAATGTATACAAATACCAAATGATTATGTTGTACACCAGAAACTAACATAATGTGATATGTCAATTATACCTTGATTAGAAAAACTTAAAACATGTAAAAAAAAAAAGTTAAACCAATACTCAACATCTTCAAGTAGAGAAAAAAATACTTTTCATCATCAAGAAGGTATGACTTTTGCTTCTAGAAAACTCACATAAGTAGAATGCTTTATTTCCTGGTGCTGCTAGATGAATGGCATGATGCGATACTGAAAACATTTTTGATGTCATATAGGCTGTGATGGACACAAAGCTGGATTCGGTATCCGCGATATCTGGTTGCTCATCCCAGCTCTGCCCATTTAGCCATCCGAGCCATTATGGCAAGGCACTCAACCCCCTAAACCTCAGGTTTTTATCAATCAACAAACTGAGGCATGGACTTGCCCTCCTTTGAAGTTTAAATAAGAGAATAGACATGAAGTTGCTATGAAAATTATAAAGGGCAATACTGCACAGAGGTATGGAAGTATCCTCATCATTGAGGCGTTTGTGTACTAATTAATACTTGTTACAGTACTGGCCTTTGAAAATATAAAATTTAAATGTTTCTTATGCCCTGAGGCTCCTTTTAAATATGTGCAGATACAGCAGTTCTAAGGAACAATCTTGGCATCAACCAAACCATTCTCCCATGAAACATTTCACGGTAAATTTTTTACTTGTGATTTTTTTTTTTTAATTTTATTTCTCTGACCACGATAGAGCATCCAGTTATCTTTCAGCAGTGCCTGGCAAGCACAGCTCAGTCTTCAGCAACACAGACATATACGATGGTGATAATTTATCATCTCTGCAGTAGTTTCGTCCCAGATGGACCATTTACTAATTTATTTCCATATGTAACTGGCAGAGAGATTAATCAGGCTTCCAACTTGGAAACCTGAATTGTGCTTTATTCCCTTAACAGGCTAACTCTGGACAAGAGGAAGTAAACGTTTATAGAGAAAACCAAGAATTCCTCTTAAAAAAAGCCTGTTGACCTCAGGCACAGGCCTTTAAACACACACACACACACACACACACACACGTATGTATGCACGCACACACGCACGTCCACACAGGGCTTGCTCCTTCTGTCAACTTGGAGGGCTGGTTCTTTCTTTAGATACTCTCGGGCTTCCCATAGGAGCTGAGTCTCATATAACTGCAGGCACACGTAAGCCCAGAAATGGAACGCCAAATCAGGTCCAGTTGCAGCCACATTCCCCTCCCTGCGTGCAAGCTCGGGTCTCAAATTTCTGAAACTGAAGAGATCTTTTTGCCACAGTGCTGCACCCAGCTGGCCCAGCTGTGCGGTGCCCAGGCCCTGGAAAGTATGTGCTTTCTTTTTTCCACTCTTTTTAAGGGTCTGAACTTGACTGAATTCAGCAGCTGCCATGTCCTCAGCAAGGCGATGGCTAATGAATTGTTAGCATTGCTCCCAGTTCCCCTGAGTTCAACTCTCAGTCCACTTTTGTTTTTAATTCTACCCCTACGAAACCAGCTTTTAGCAAAGAGTGTCAATGAGATTGTTGTCAGATGACAGTGTTTACATAGAGAAAGCCAGCCAATCCCAACACGGGCCAGAAAGCACAAGCTGATTAGTAATGTCATACGTGGAACCCAAGGCCTGGCTGGGTCAGGAAGGCTCAGCTCAGTAGGCAGGACCACGTAGAGATATTACTGGCTGCATCCACACACCTGGGTCACTGAACAGCCATGTGGCTTTGGAAAAGTCACTTAGTTCAGGTTCACAATTCTCTCCTCTGTAATAGGAGGAATTTAGTTCTACAAGGTTCCTTCTGGCTCTAAAACCTTGTTATACTATGAATGTGGAAAAAAAAAATCAGCCACTCCCTTGGTCTCTACACTTAGATGCTGCCAAACAGCCAGAAGTTTGGAGCCTCTGAAAGTGGCTAGCTTGGTGCTATGATAGACAGCATCTTAGGAATCTCCGTATCGAACCAACTGACTCTCTTTAAGCAGAGAGAACATACGCATTTGAAGAGTGTGCGATGATGTATATCTTTACAAGGTCTTAAGAATTCGATGAAATACCACAGCTTGAAGCACTGTCCTAGGCAGAGCAAAAGCTGGAAGACCACATAGGTCATGGTCCTTTGTCCTTAACACACTTACATCTCAGTGAAGGAGACACGCAACTAATCGTATATAGTGAAAATAAGTGCTATCCTTGAAGACAAAGAAACGTTGATAGGAACACAGAAGACGGAGAAATCCTCCCAAAGAGGGAAAGTGGCGGGGGGAGGGGGGGATATCTGTAAGTGGGGGGGGAATATCTGTAGGGTTTTATGGAGGAACTGGAGGAACTGAAGCTGGCTTTACAATGCAAAGATGGGAGTATAGGCACCTGGGCAGAGGCAGCACCACTGGTCAGGGGCAAAGGCCTAGAATCCTCCCAGGGAGGACAGGACACAGTATTTCATGCCCTCGGGCAGCCACGGGATGCTCAGGGCAGAGAAGACCTCGTGAGAGGGAAGGCTGGGAAGGGGCCAGTGGTGGAAAGCCCTGGACGCCAGCCTGCAGGCCGCCTTTCACCCTGTGACCACTGAGAGCCTTCCGCAGTTACCGGGCAGCGGAGGCTCCCAATGAGCTCCGTCTCAGGAAGTTGATTCTGGCCCTTCTAACACCATTTAAGACTGGTAATAAGATCAGTCTGCACCTTCATTTTTCTCTGACTCATTCCATGCTGCCACTATTTGGGAATCCCTCAAATTTATTTATTTTTTTTCCAAATCAATTTCCTGGCCCTTCAAATGGAAGCAATTGAGTTTCCTACAAGCGCTGCCAGGATTTAAATGCGAATGACTGGTTTGGCCTAAGGCTTGGCATTTAGGTGTATGTGGTTTTCTATTCTTATGAAAGAGTTAAAATAACATGGCATAGACTGGTGGGGTTTTTTTTGTTTTTTTTTTTTAACTGGAAAATATTTCTGGGTGATGAA